CTCAAGCCTATGATTAGACAATGTGCTAATAAACTTTTCCTTGTTATCGGTGTACAGGTATGAGCAGGATCCAATCTCAATTTTTAGGTGCTGGAGTACCATATAATTTATTCACTAGACTAGTTGGCACCAATTACGAACCCCTTTACGGGATTGAAAAGCTAATCCTTGAAACTGATAATGGTTCCTTCTCCTTCCCTGATAACAAAAAATTTTAATAGAAACTTCTTGGTATAGGACATCATAATAGAAATAAAAGAAAGTTATAAAAGAAAAAAAGATAAATTATGTAGATATAGGGTTTAGAGAGATGAGAATTGAAAGAAAAAGATAACTCCGTATCACAAGCATTGGGATTGGCGACAACTATGTTACAGGGTTGCTAGCACTCAATTCAGTTTGAGAAAATAATGGTTTTTATTCATAAGTAGTTTGTTTAATAATCGCTAACCACCCATATTATGATTAAAATCCCAATATGAAAACAATATCACATTACACTACTCAAAAATATAATAATAATAATAATAATAATAATAGTTAATTGGACTACTACATAATAAAACTTTAATATGAAAAACTTGCTAAAATATTATTATTGTGTTGATTATCCTGTACTGATAAAAACTACTAGATGGTCCTTTATGGAAAAAAAAAAAAGATCCACATCATCTAGACTCATAGCATTGAAACGCAATTACAAATGCAAGCACTCAACAATGAAAAATATGTTTATAAGTTTATTTACAAGCAATTTGAATAACAATGGGGTATCACCCAACTAATCGTAGTGATTCTAATACTCCTGTTATGGCTATAATCTTACTAAAATAGGAAATAACAATCAATAATAAACCCATACTATTTTAAGATAAAAAATCGCTCTGAGGCCTAAAACCAACTTTAAAAATTGGTCCTACACTTTTCGTGTTAGCAACATTTTTTTTGAAATAAAAAAATAGAAGATGTATTAATGTGACGTGCTAAGGGAACACCACCCATTTACAAAAACTTTACATGTCAATTAATATATTTACAATAGAACCTAAATTTTCAAACATTCTAGATTGTGCCCTAAACAGTATACCAAAATAATGAAACCATTTATCGTTGATGCTATTAAATCTTGTCACTCCTCAAAAGCCCTGTTGTTTCTCTCCTTCCAAATAACCCAGAGTATGGTAAGAGAAATTAATTTAAGCGCTTTGTTACTGCTCAGATCTTCCCATGCCAAAAGTTGATAATAAACAGAATATGCCATTACCCAATAAATCCCTAGAAGCCCGAGTATCATGCTCCAAAGTTTGTGAGATGTTTGACATTTCAAGAGTACATGATTACATTATTCAGGAGATCTCTTACATAAGAAACACCAATTGATAGTAGTATGCCATCTTTTCATCAAATTGTTCATTGTGAGAATTTTTCCTTTTGCAATTTCCCAAGTAAAAAAAAAGCTATTCTTGTGGGGGGAGGAGAGGAGGGGGGAGGCACCCGATTTCCAAATAATTTTTGAAGGAAAAAGATATTTTTATTAGAGTTATGAACGGTCAGAAAAGAGTAGAGAGAGTTGACACTGAAGAGACCATTCTTTTTTTAATTTCCAATGCAGTTTATCGTTTTGATTTACAGCTGTGTGTTTGCTAATAATTGAAGTAAGAACTGATATTTTTCTAGTTCCTAATCTTGAAGGTTTCTCATCACTGGAACATTTCAGGAGGCAGAAATGATTGAGCCAGCAATATCATTTATCATGGTAGTTTTCTTTCTAGCAATCCCATAGATAAGGGGATGTGTCTTTTAGTTTTTCTGAACCGCACTAAATATCTTACCAGAGACGGACCTTGTACCCATTAGCAATACTCCATTTTAAGCATTGAAATGTCCCATTGTTTAGTGTGATGATGTTCTTTCATAAACTGTAACCATAGTTGCTATTTTTAATATAAGAGAGATTTTATGAATTACCGTTATACCATTTTGAGTCTATCACCATTTTCTATAGGCTGTCATTTTCATTCCAATATCTCTCAATTCATTTACTAAGAAGTGTTTTGTTTAGTTTGACTATTGATCTTAGTCCCAAGCCCCCTTCTTTTAAGGTTTTTTTATCTCCAACCAATTCACTGAGTGATATTTCTTACAATTTTCACTGTTACCCTAAAGAAAGTTACATTGGATTTGCTCTAGTTTCTTGGCTACCTTAGTTGATATGTTGAGCATTGATAAGAAGTAGATCGGAAGATTGGAGAGTGTGGTTTTAATCAAGGTCAATATACCTCATTTTGATAGAAATTTTTTTCTAAGTAGATAATTTGTTATTGAACAAATTGATCATAGGTTTTCAGCAATTATTGTCATTGTGCTTGGTGTCAAGAGAAATCCCAAGATAAGTAATAGGTAACTGTGTCTGCTTGCAGCCGAAAACCACACTGAGATCTTCATTTCTGGAGCTGTTCTCCAACAAAACCATATCAGATTTTTGAATATTTATATTTAAATCGGAGATAGTCTGAATCCGTAGTAGAATACATTTTAGGAAGATGAGGGAGTTGAAATCCAGTTGACAGAAAATCAGTGTATCATCAGCAAAGGAAAGATAAGAATTTTTCATTTTGTGATCTCTGTTGCCTACAGTAATTCCTTTAATCAAGTTCAGTGATTTTGTTTTCTCAATTAGTTAATTCAGTGTTTCCATCACAATAATGAATAAAAGTGGTGAAAGGGGATCCCCTTGCCTTAGGCCTCTAGAGGCATTCTCGTTTTAGCAACATATCTTAGTAACTATCACTATATCAGAGATAGGATATCTGGACCCTAATTTTTGTTTTGGTTTTAGGACCATGAAGGTGTTCTTCAGTAAGGGGTTTTGTACCAACATGGTTAACGAACAAGCAATTTTTTTCAAAACAAAGAAGAGTTTCCCTAATGCTTGTATTTCCATTATCTAAGTGAGGATCATAACTTGCTTTGCTCTTTCTATGACTTAAGTTCTGCATTAGATGATCTAAAGAGCATGTCATTCTTGAAAATAATTCATAAACAGGCAATATTTCCTTGTCATTTCTAGAATTAGAGTATTTACCATCGGAATTATTCTCATATATGCTAGTTTCCTTTTCTTTTCTAACCAACAATGAGATATCAATGGTTGGTACCGTCCAATAATCTATTGCAACAAAAATTGAGCCTACTAATCTTGAAAACTTGGTTGATATGTAGTTTGGTTTATTTGGCATCTTACATGATTCTCTGATTTTAGGATCTAGAGCTGCAAGCAAAAGTGACAAAAAAATGCTTCTTTGATGTAGACATTGGAGGTGAACCTGTGGGAAGGATTGTAATAGGCCTTTTTGGGGATGTTGTGCCAAAAACTGTTGAAAACTTCCGTGCCCTGTGTACAGGCAAGCTTTGCTTAGATTATCAGATGTCCTTTTAAATTATGGAGGCAATTTTTTTTATTTATTGTTCTGGAGATGTGTTTTAAACCTCAATATGAAAAATCATATTTCAGGAGAGAAAGGATATGGATACAAAGGATGCTCCTTTCATCGTATTATTAAAGATTTTATGATCCAGGGGGGGGATTTCACTGAAGAAGATGTAATCTCTCTCTCTCTCTCTCTCTCTCTCTCTCTCAAGGAAATTGAAATGTTCTTGGTATGCAGGGAACTGGAGGAGTCAGTATTTATGGTTCCAGATTTGAAGATGAGAGTTTTGCCCGTAAGCATTTGATGGATTCTGAATTGTGTTTGGTCATGTTGTTTATAGTAAAAAGATTATAAATTTCGCTTAATTTTTCATCATTTCTTCTGTAACATGGCATACCACTGAGTTATATCCTCCCTCCTAACAATAAATAGAACTGGTTAATCTTAAGGTTAAAGGCCAACAATAGACAATAACTCTTCCCTGAGCACAGTTTATTACTTTCATCACAATGTACTCTCCAAAGAACAACTCTTCTCAAAATCTGAGTAGGTGCTGAGTTTTGTTGGTGTAGTTACTCAGGAAAAAAAACTATTTGAAGAACCAGGAAAATAACAGTATTTATGGCACATATTTACAGTGAAGCATGTTGGGCCTGGAGTATTGAGCATGGCAAATGCTGGTCCGAATACCAATGGGAGCCAATTCTTCATTTGTACAGTAAAGGTGAGATAAATAGGTTCAGCCTTTTGCTTTTTGTTGTATTCGAATCTAGTAGCATCCTTTCCTATGCCAATAACAAATTAGCTAATATTATCAAGAGTCTATTGAAAGTCAAATGGCCTGCTAATTAAGTGTCAGAGAGTGACTTTTCCTATGTTTTCCATCTGGCTCATTACATGATAGGATCATGACTCATGGCCATAGTTTTCACCTAATTTTAAAAAATTGATTGTTGGATTGTAAATGGATTAATAAAATGTGTTTATACGTATCAATTAAAAGAGATGAGTGCAACAAACACCATTTGGTGACCATGTTAGAGCAGAGATTTGATATTTATTTTATTTGTTTACCTTGCAATTGTGCAACAGATGTTATGTTGTGTTTGTTTCAATTTTATTCCATCTCATTCTATTTTAGATCTTAATTGTTTGATATGAAGAATTTAATCATAATTTACATATTTCATTTATAACTAAACGAACTTTACTCATATATATAATTCCATAATGTATTTCCACTCGTAATTGAAATTTAAACTAAATTCATCCTTACAGGTAATATGAAGCTTAGTTGTTACATGTATAGAACTCTAGTCCCTTAAGATCTGGCAAAGAGGCTGAATACATCTCTTAAAAATTGATCTGAATAATTGATATACAGAAGAAATCAAGTGGTGGTTAAGGGAGGAGGAGGAATGAAGGTGCCAATAGGGAATAGGTTATATCATACATTTGGTAAAAATATATGGTAGTTCATTGTTAAACTATTTGATGATGCATTATCTTTTTCTGGTTTGTGCTTGTCTCATCTAAGTGCATTTCATTGTCATTGTTCTTTTTTGCTATCCATTTTGTGATTTAGATATTAACAAACATAACATGTTAGGCAGAACTGGTGTAGCTTTTGGCTCGCTTTGTAAAATTTACTCTTGTTCTCATTTGCAGACTCCATGGCTGGATAACCGCCATGTTGTGTTTGGACATGTCATTGATGGTATGGATGTTGTCCGCAAGCTTGAGTCAACAGAGACAAGCAGGTCAGATTACCCCCGAGTACCATGCAGAATTGTTAACTGTGGGGAATTGCCCATTGATGGTTGATCAACCTAGTTTTATACCCAGGATGGATTTTGTTGTCCTTTATGCAATGATTTTACCTATGTATGCGCGAACTGTTGTTCTTATACAGCTGAAAGAATTTTGTAGAACACTCAGTAAGTTAATGATAGAGGATCATGTATTTCACTTGGATGAAAATAAATTCAAGGGTTCCATATTCATCGATATCTCATTCTTCAACTTTGTCCTCGCTTGTTTATTTTTCTCTACTTGCTTCTCTAATTGGCTTCTTTCCCAGCTAGTGTTGGTTGCATGATTATCACTTACATAATACAAAGCTACATAGGTATAGTTGGATATTCTGGAGCATGATAATATGAATCCGTGATTTTTGACATGTAGATTAATTTGCTTATTATGTAGTTGACATTAGTCTGTGTAGTGATCTAGGGGGTAGACGTCCTAGGCTAGGACCATGGTTTCAACTGTAGTGGACTGGACAACTTGATCTAGCTGCTCTCTGTCTTCACCTTCCCATATTTCAGGTATTGCTTCTTTGATATTGTGGATGCTACTTAAGGCATGATCTGCATCTGGAACTAGAAGTGAGCTCCCCACCTGCCATATGCCATCATTATTGTTAAAAGTCCGATTTAACTTTTCTTTTTCCTGTAAGCCAGCACGCTTGTCTTTATATTAGATGAGTTGCTAGTAGCCTAGTATGTGCAAACAATTTACAAACTAACTCACAATAACAGTGTGGAATCCTGCTGCTTTCCCACTTGAAATATTTCTAGGGCTGTCGTCAAAGAATATCTGAGAGACAGCAAAGACAAGGAGATGGTTGAAACAAGTAGAAAGTTTCTTTTTACTTCAGTAACAACAAAAAAGGAAAAGTTAGGAAGTAGCAATCTCTACTGTCTTCTTTGGATCAACATCCGCAATCCGAATAGCAGCTTCCATGGCTCTGAGAGAGGGTTTGCACAGGATTCGAGGTTTTGGAACAAAACTATTGATCTCAGCATCTTCAATGGTATCAGGCTCCTGTTCATCTCCTGCATCATTATCATCTGACGCATCCATAAAATCAGCTGGTAGAAGAGGGGGGTTGAGAGTTTCGAAGCATATGATGCCATCAAAACAATCTTCCAGGCCCAACCTGCTGAGGACTTGGGCAGCATGTGCCTTATCAGCATTAGTGAAAATCTGGTAACACAAACATGAAATATTCGTTAAAACCAAGATTCAGCATTTTTTTTTTTTGCACTGAGAAAAGTTTCATTTAATTGAAGTGTTGAACTAACTAGCGTTCTTGGTAAATACAATTTTACGCGGAGGCATTGAAAGCAACAGATTCCTTAACACCATATCAGGTTTCAAGGTGTCATACGGTAGTCTTCCGTGAACATAAGCATGAAACTCATCATTGTCAAATTCATAACCGAGAGCCTGAAAGTTAACAATAAGAGATATAAATCTCAGGCAAAAGAAACAGGACAGGACTATTCAGACAAGATCAGGTATGTTTCACCTTCAGACCGGCCATTGTTGTTCCATATTCTCTGTACAACTCCAAGCACATCCTTGGCACTTCACTCTCCTCAATCTTCAAGTGGTTCAGCATGTAATCTGTAATCAAAATAGCTCGACCTCAACATTTCTGCTAAACTGTCATAAAAAACATCATCTTTGTTTTGAAGTCATACCTTGTATGTTCTTGCGGCAAGCCAAATTGAGACCTGAGCTCAGGGGGTATAAAGTATCATCCATATCTGTAACAAACATTGAAAACACAAATTCAAGAATTGTTGTATTTATCATTCAAAAGTATGATCAATGTTTTTTCAATAGTCAGCCTTTTCAATAATTTTTAGCAAAGCTTCAATTATAATCTTTCAGATTCCAACTTTCTTGTTGGTTTGTCTCAACATAGCATACCAAATAGTAAGCACTCATATTGGGTTCCACCGGACTTCCCAAGAGCATCCATACTCAAGAAGGTACCTGGGGAATATGCCATAAGTTCAAAAGATCAACAAGTTGTTACAAGTTCTTATTCTCCAGATTCCTTTTTTGTTCCTAGAGTTTTGCTCTCAAAAAGTCCAAAACAAGGTTTTTTTGGATTTAAAAATGGATATGTACTCTCTGATTCACAAGAACATAAGATAATAGAGATTGCTAACCAATTGTTCTAAAAACTTAAACATAGTAGAAAATGATGTAATATATCATTTATAGCATATTTTGTGCTGTTTTCTTCTAGAGAAAACAAAATCTTGAGTTTAGAATATGAGCTCAAATTTACAAAAAAAAAAAAAAAAACTGAAAAAATAGTAATAAAACTAATACAAGCTAAAAAGAAACTCTGTTTAAAATGAAGAGAATCAAAATAAAACCTAAAGAACCCATGTAAAGGAAGTAGTTTGGAAAGAACATAGGCCAAAATCAAATAAGGGAAATCTCAAATTTATAGAGATAGTAAGTTGACAACCTTGTGCTCTCATTTTAAAAAGGAAAGCATATTCAGCAGGTTTGTTTAATAAATTATGATGAAAGCAATGCAAACTCCACAAAAATACTAACCACAGAAACTTAGGCAACAAATAATGCATTATAATAATAACAATAAAGAAATCAGAACCCAACTAAAAGGCACCCTTACAGACCAAAAATCACAGCAACACCCACAAAAACAAAACAGATAACTCTTCACCTGTAGATTGACTATAACAGGATTAGCTCATGAAGTCCTTATTTATAGTTGAATTTCAAAGCTCATGACCCACCAACCAACAAACCCATTTGAGGAATGTTATGTGGCTGAGGTGGTGAGCATATTTCCTTTTCCATTTGTAGGATTCTGATAATTTGTTAAATTCAATCTTACTTATTATCTTTCTGTTACTGGTCACTTTCTATTTTTCATGCAATTGTTTTATCTTTTTTATTGGTTAAAATTCACTATTTTTCGTAGTTATATTATAAATTTACGTTGATTCATATATAAGTTTGATTAAGAAAAATTTTAAATTTATCTTATTAATATGTTTGTGAGAATACCGTAATCATATTGAGTTTTAACTCAATAAATTATATCTTTTATAAATAAAATAATATTTTATGACAGTCTAATTCTCTTAATTAAAACAATCACAATATAATAAAAATTTAATTTAAATTAAAAAAAAAAAACACTAATACTCAGTTTTTCAATATTCTGTCATCATCCACATTCCACACAAAGCTGTTCCTAATCCCCTATATGCTTTCATCAGCCTGGTAATAAATCAATACGGCATCTCTATTCTTTGTTCATGAGCAAAGAGAACTGTTTTATAACTCTTGGTGAATACAGACAGGGAATAGTTCAAAAGCTTCAAATGGTTTGGAATCCAATGCATGGAATCAGATATTATCTACAAGTGGGATTTTGTTTTTTTGAAATTTTTGATTTAATTGGAAAGATGCGAATATTACAAATTTTTTGAAAATGTACGTGGAATGTAAGCATATAAACAATCTCCTCTAAAAGAAATTTTATGACAACATCTACCAAATATGTGTGTATATATATATATATATATATATATATATATACATACACACACACCACCCCCCATTAGGTCTTACATGCAGTCTCCCATATCTTCTGCAATAATCCAGGCAAGAATGAGTTGCCCTTCCATGTGGCATTGAGAATAAGTCTGAATCCATCACTCACTGAATTTTTTAACATCTAAATATTTCATAACGAAATTTAATTTAATCATCAGTAATAAATTATTATTTAAATTAAATATTATAAATCAGTCATTATTAATTTATAATAAATTTACAAAGTAATAAATTATATGTATGCAGTGATATTTAAACTCATAATATTTAAATAAAATGTAAGAATTTTAATTATTAAATTGATTTAGTTTATAACTTTTTAATATTTTTTCATAACTTTTCTTTTATTTTTTTTACATTACTTTTAAAACATAAGATCGAACATGTTTTATTTTATGTTTAATCTCAAAACCTAAACTCCACCTTGACTTCTTTAGAGATAATAATAAGAATTAAGTTTTCCTCAGTTCCTACTTTTATTCAAACGAATTAAATTTTAAGCCCCAAAAGAGTTGATGGTGGAAATAGAAGAAGATTAACCCTAAATTATGAATTTTATTTATAATGCCACAAGTCTAATTAAAATAAGTGTTCTATTTTATCACGTTTTTTACATGAGTATTTTGTTGTTAAGTAAATATGTAGTGAATTCATATTTTTATTATTATTTTATATTTCATTAATTATTAAATTTAGTTTCTTAATGGATGTAAATATTAGTTTAATATGTACTACATGACCCTTAAATAATAAAAAAAAAATAACAACATACCAAATAATTTTACTTAATAAAAGGTTATAATTTTGGGTACGTTTTAGGATTTTAATTAATATGATTAAAGAAAAAAAAAATGACTGTAAGAATGGAAGCACATAGTGTGAAAATAAATCTATTGTAGTTGTTTTTCCCCAAATTTTTTTGCAACAATAAAGTATTGAAAAGAATTAAGTTCTTATTTTTAAAAAAGCTATGGATTTAGTTGTAGTTATATTCAAAATATAAGAAATTTTATGTAATTTATAAATAAACTATGATAAAGTGATGAAGTGAAAATTACGTGCAGTGCGATTACGTAAACGTTGACACTAAAGTTTTGTTTGAATAAATTTGAGTGATGGATAATTAATATATGACAATGAAGTGATTAGATGACAATAACATAGAATGAGAATAATAAAAAAAATTTATGTTTGGATGATTGTGTATTAATGTATGTTAATGACAACTATTTTGTTTGGATGATAGGATAAGATGGTTGTATTTTCAGTCAAATTACAAATTTACTCATGTTTTATTATATGTAATAATAAATAGTATATAAAAAGCATAAAATGAAAAAATAAATAAATTATATAATAACATAATTAAATTTGTATTTAAATAAATAATTATTATATATAATTAAATTAAATTTTTATATTTAATAAAATAAATAATTATTATTTATATTATTACATTAATT